CTCATGACACTACAGTTGTTGAAAACAGAACACATAAATTGCACATAATCAAAAAATAAAAACAAAGTCAAAGATTATTTTTAGCTCTATGAAATGAATTGTCCTTAGAACAGAGAAGTACTAAACATATGTAGAATACAAGCAAATATGAAAAAATAATGCAGAACAATGTCATATAAAGACGCTAATTTGTGTAAAGTACACAATTGTGTAAAGTTGATTTTAAAGATCAACTTAACACAAGCATGTGTATAAGTCTTAAAATTTTACATTAATTAAAATTTTAATACACAGCCTTTTTCTTGAAGTTATTCATGCTTACATTTGAAAGCATTAATAACTTGAAGCACTAAAAAAATTCAAACAAAAAACCACAGCCTTACACAAAAAATCACATTTAAAATCAAGACTTTAAGAACGTTGCATTGAGATGTTAAACCATCTTTTCATCTTATCTTCAAAAACATGAACTGGCAGCTCACCAAACTTCTTTAAGCATACATCTTAAAAGTAAAAACATAGTTCAAGTCAGTTGATGAAGTCTTTTTGAAAAAATAAGTAAATAATACAAAATCTTAAAAACAAATAATAATAGTTGTATTTTCATACGTACGTACATTCTACCAGTTTCTTAGTTGTTGATTTTTCAAAGCTGAGCTTGACTCCACCTGTGCCCTTCCAGCTTATTATGCGAGCAAGTTGGTTGGAGATGAGGACGGCCAGAATGGAATACGTAAAAGATGAGGCTGTCTCGCCTTTTCCCTTTTTTCCAAGATACTTCATCTGAAATGTATAACAAATAATTTAAAAATGTTTTATGTCAAAAAAACAATAATAGAGTAACAACAGAATAAGTAAGATTCACCATATTATTGAAAATTGGTTCATTCTTTAAATAAGATTCAAATTCTGCCAAATCATTCTCTGTGTTTAAAGGTAAAGAAGGAAATCCTTGTGGACGGTCAAACCTAGACTCATCAGGAAATAGCTCGTCTAATATTCGGCTCATATTGATACTAAGCCAATCCACTTTTCTATGAAGCTCTTGAAGGAGATTAAGATGCATTTGGTTTTCTGTCAAAGATAAACACATTAACATACTTCTAAATTATTTTATTCATAAAAATACTCAGAGATGATTTGAACTTACTGCTAGTCGTTTCTGGGTCTTTAAAAAAATCTGATGTCTTCTGCTCGGGCATGGACTGACATGACTGACTTTCACGTACTATCTCTTTTACTGATTCATGAACACCAGGGTTATCATGCAATTTCTTTGAAGCTTTAGAACTGCTTGCTTGTGATGGAAATGCTACAAATAATAACAACAATACGTAGAATTCAACAAAAGAATTCATTTCTCATGTAAAGCCTTAGCTGCTCATAGTACAAAAAACATACCTCCAGATAGACTTTTTGCTTGTGATGGTTCTGATGTGGTGCAGCTATATGCTGATGAGTCTATTACATGTAACAAAATAAAGTTTTTCAAAAAGTAATGCATGGATAAGTCAGAGAAAACTTAGCAAAATACGTACGTTTATTTAAAGGAAAAGATGATGATGATTGTTTGCCAGAATATTCAATTCTGAAATTATATTCTAAATCTTGCTGGGGTGAAGTTGAAACAGGTAGAGTAAAATAATCATCATTGTCAATTTGTTCTTCTTCACTTAGGTCAAAAGCAGATCTCTGATCAGTTTCCATGTCATCATTTTTTGCAGTAACTGTCCAGGGCCGTTTTGACGGCGAGGCCATTGCTTCACGCATCACATTTTCATTAATGTCCTTGTTAATCGCTGTTTTAGAAAGTCAACCATGGATGATATTCACAAAATAAGAAAGAAATTCTGCACGTAATTTGCACTAAAATTTCAATGATTAAAAACACTAACTATTATTGAAAGACTTCTCAGTAGAAAAATTACAACAAACATGTTTTGATTGGTTTTTTGTAGGCGATTTGACCAATACCGCTGAGACAGCAGAAGTTTTTTGCTTCTTTTTGGCTGCTGCCTTTGCTTGAGCACTTTCAAGCAGAAAAGCTTCTTTAACTTACTGGACAGAGTAGGAATAGGTGCTGGAATGTCTTTAGAACTTCCAACTCTTTTTGTAGTCTTCTTAGTACCCAGCAAACAATTTTTTCTGACTTCGCAGACTTTGGCAACAGAAACTGTGTGCAGAAACGCTACAGTACGGAAACATGCTTTGGTGCTGGCAAAACTGTTAGCACATAGAGACAAAAAACGCAACAACTCTGTTGGCACATACATGAGACTATTGCGGCCAAAATGATTCCATATATGTTAGTGAAATTGATAACAAATAGATGGTCGATAGCAAGCAAATCTGCTTTAGCAATACTGTG